TTTGGGAAAATCATAATTAATGTCCGCGCATGCTACAAATGGCATTTGTTTTCGTGGTGTCTGTTAGCGTTTGTTACTGTTTTGGATCGGATGGTTCCGTAACGTACGCTTAATAGCGGGAATTCACGGATACGTCCGAGACAATACAATAATGTTCGTATCTCGTGCAATTTTATGAACTGATTTTGTTTGTCCAATCATGTTATACGTTGTATGAAAGAGATTTGACAGAAAGTTTTACATTGATTTTTAACATTTCATTTCTTTTGAATTCAGATGCTGTGTTAAGGTTCTTTTCACTTCATTCATTTTCTTGAAATAGTTCTTATTGACATCGCTCAATTGTTGTATTGTTATATTTTAAGTATTTTTAATATGAAGGCTTTTTACATATTTTTATATATATTCATTAAACTTGACGAACCTACGCCAGGAGTCGTAGTTAGTATTTTACCATGTGAGACAAATAAAAACGGCATAATTAAAAATATGTCGGGCTCGGTTTGAATGAGACTGTTCATGACTGTTACTGGAAAGTGCAAGCTATCGTCCGTACTCCCTAACACCGGTTTAAGCAGAATTGAACGTTTAAAATGCACTATGAAAATTTTCAATATAAAAACAGAAAAGTTTATACAGCGGTAATCATGGAATCTTCAATGTAGCACTTTGTGCTATTCCATAAATAGAGGATATTAAATGAGTGTATATTTAATACTGAATTTATTGAACAAGTTCAATAAAATAATATTATGCGAGCCTCGGGTGAGCATAATATTCTTTTATTCAACGAGTTCAATAAATTTAGTATTGAATCTACACAAATAATTATAATATTCTATTTATCACATATATAAAATAAGAACGGGTAACTGTCAAAAAGAATCATTTTTCATTGACATTAGCGCGCTTTAACGCTATGTTTGTATATAACGCAAATGACGTCACGTTATTACATTAGTGTATTATCGTTTTAATTGAATGGCTTTATTACACTCCTGTGCCGCGGTTTATGTGATAAAAAGCGGCAAAGGCGTGTGCACTAAACGAGAAAACAATAGGCGGACAACAACAAATCATTGTGTTTCAGGAACAGGTAAGAAAGAATATAAAAATCACTTTAAGTAACAAACAAATAACATGATAACGTTTTCTGTAAAAATTGTCTATCGTTACGTTAATGAGAAAAATATTGATTAATAATTAATATAAAATGTAATGGTGTTAAATGTACATAGCTCAAGTGGCATAATGTACAAATGTTACTCTTTCTCCGTATGATTTTTCAGAATGTATACAGTATACAGTAACACAAATTTGATTCCACGGCGTTAAATTGACTTGTTACTCATTGTCCGAAAGGTTATTTAAGCCATTTAAAAACGTATTATCGAAACCCTAATATAATCTCCTTTTATACTGAAACTTCACTTCATATTCTTTAGAAGGTAAATCATACTGTTGAACGAGAGGAGGTAGTCAAGGGAAGAAAATGTGTAGGTCTCGTGAAGCTTGTATAGGGAAAAACGATCATTCTGAAATAAATAAAAACTAACTACATGTATTATTAACATGTACGATACGTGCATTTTGTCAGTGAACAGAATATATATTCATAAATGGATAATAAGATGAGGTTTTAGGATAGAATCGTTTGCTATTTTCACTTGCAAATAATAATAATAATAATAATAATAATAATAATAAGAAGAAGAAGAAGAATAAAATAATAATATTAATTATAATAATAATAATAATAAAATATAATTTGTTTAGGTAAGAAATTGTAGTTATTGGTTTTCGATTTTAGCACATCATCTAACCGATGTTCAATATTCTTAACTAGTAATTTGTTGACAATGTGTCGTTTTTGCATTTTATATTGTTCTGTTCAAGCTGATAACATTTTGTCATCATTATTTTTATTTTCATTCGTAGAAATCTTCGTAATTGGCAGTAAAGTAAGAATTTTTTTTGCACCCAGAAAGTTATGTTTATATGCGTACCATATATCGAAGAATTGGTGTCATGTAATGGCAAAATCAACTTATAAATTGATACTTAGATTTCATACACTGTAACCATGATTGTATATATTGAAAAATGAATAAAAATATTGATAATTCGGATTCATATAAGGATATCAGGTTCTATATATGGCTAGTTTGGTAATTTACACAGGAATTTTGGTATATTGAGAAAATCAACAAATTTATAGCTACCTTGATTTAATGCCTGATACACTGTTGGTATGGTTTTATTATTGTAAATGTTGATTTATCGTTTCCACATGTGTTTTCATTTCATATATTGGCGATGTGAACTTATATATAATACACATGGTTAAATTGATTTAAAAAAAAAGAACAAAATAAGACAGTAATAGCTTTCCATAGTAAAAATAGTAAACTATTGAATTGGCTTAGTATATCAAATGAATGAAATTTTTTATGATTAGTGATTTATAAACATTTAATGATTTATCTTTCTCTTTTCATGTAAATTTTGCAATGAATATTTAATGTTAACTGTAAGTCAGTTTTCCAATCCAGGAAGTTTTCAATTATTCAATTTTATCAGATACAAAAAAGTGACACCCCTTTTTGAAGTTATAATATAAACATTAATATCAAAGTTTCTTTCTTGGAGGTACGATTAATGAAGGATTATAGAAGTCTTTTATAAAACTTTGCATCGATTGGCACTTTTTTATTTATTTTCTTTTCTTAATTTCACGCCTATTCCAGATGATACAAAATAAGAACCCCCTAACCATTCAACCATATGAGGTTCTGCGAATTGAGGCTCGGGTTCACAGCCAAAAATGGACTTAAATGACCATTTATAGTACGATTGTTGGCTCCACGTCGGTAAAGTACGTGAGTCATTCCGACAGACACACTTATACTAGCAGAAATGATGAGAATATGGGTGATATAGGGGTTAATTCATACTACATTACAGGATAAACCAATGATCCGCTGTACATGTGCTACTGTTATCTAGCGAGAGTAGCCGGACTAGACAAAATGTGTTCCGGCTGCTCCGTCGGTTCCGGCTGTCTGGCTATCTCCACGAACATCTAATTAGTTACATAATTTCAATAACATAAGCGTTTACATTGATTCGAATGGAGTACGCTTAATATCCTTTCCGAATGATAAAAACGCTGTCCTTATTTAACCCAAAACGAATAGATAAAAACGTTGTTTTTTAATACTCAAGATTTGCTGTATCACACCAGTTTTCATACATTTGATCCTTGTACGGATATATTTATAGTTTGTAATTCAACACCAGGAAGTTGATAAAGGAAGTGTTTATAACTAAAATTACAATTTATTCGTTTCGTACATTTTTCATGCGTAGATGGATAAAAAATATACGGACTAAAGCTTTAAAGGGTATTTTGAAATTTTGATATTACACTTTTCTATAATATTATTTTTTGTAGCAATGAAATTAAAACTGTCTACATCTCTTTAATTACATGACTGCTGATTGTTTTCACAATCAATCAATAATATATTTTTTTCAATGTTACCATTTTTTTTACTATTTTTACAGAAATACAATCTAAAAAGGTTTTCAGTCAAACCAAATCTGCATTTGATGTATTTAATGTTTCCAAGGGACCCTTTTTCCATATATTTCATAATAAACACGTAAAATATACTGAACCAAAAATAAAAAAGAATCTTCCCCTGTGGTGATATAGTGTTATTTAAAAAATGAGCAAATGATCTAGATGTATTCGGTATATATCAGGGTTTGATAAAACAAATTTTAACTCGATTTTAACTCATTTTGCAGGGAAACCCACAGAACGATATTTTTGACGTGCAGCCACAGATCAGTATATTCGTGTTTATTTTATAACACCTTTCAGCGTGATTTTAGAGACTTTCATATCAATAAGAAAAAAGTCTTTTTTCCCATTTTTTAATTTTGATACGCCTAGAATCCCGCAAAATTTAAACGAACGTGCCAATGGCATGCTTAATAGTTGTATGGCGATGAATGCCATCGCTATGAATATTGGATGTTCTACTCGTGCTATTTGACGCATTAGGCAACCTTTTCAAGCAACAGGGCACACCTGGTGGACGACAACGCGTCGTGACGCGTGCCCAAGACCTCTATATTCAGAACATCCAACTGCGCAATAGCTTCCAAACTGCCAAAGTTACTGCTGCTAACACCCCCGGTACACATAACAACCGTATATCTGCACAAACTGTGCGCAATCGCTCATGGGTGGGCTACATGGTCGTCGACCATACGTTGGTTGCGTTTTGAGGTGACGTCCCCGCGTAAATCGTGTCAATTGGGCACTTACACACCAACGCTGGCTTAGGCAACAATGATATAGCTTTATTTTATCTGATGAGTCGATGTTTTTCAGTCATCGAGCTGGTGGCTGGGTTCTAGTATACGTAGTAGAAATGAACCTTTTGCAGATTGCTACGTACTTGAACGAGATTGTTTTGGGGATTGGGCTTCTGTCTCGGTCTAGGCAGGCATTGTATATGGCTTTCGCACTAATCTCGTCCTTATCGAAGGGAACTTGAATGCACAACGCTACCGCTTTCTTGCAAGGCATATTATCTCACTGTTTCAAAGAAATCACTCTTTTTCAACATGATAATGCAACAAGTCATACAGATAGGGACATTGTTAATTTTATCAGGGCGAATAAAATTGCATATATTAATGACTGTTCAATCAAAAGTCAATTGAACACCTTTAATTACAATCGTCTAGCCGAAAAAATAATGAAATAATACCTTTTAATGTTTATAAATTAAATCACTTTTATGAAAATCAGTTAAATCTTGATAGCGAAATACCTTCCCTTAAGATTATCAAGAATAAAACTAGACTGATATGCTTCAATTAAAAAAAATCGTCAGTCATGGCACTATAAAAAGTTGATCTCAAATACCTAACATCATTCCTAAACATGTAACGAAATTATATTCAAATTCATTTGTTTTCAGACACAATGAAACCAAGGAACTGTGTGTATAATCACTTTATTCCGCTTGTTTATTTGCTACTTGAAACATATGGATTGATTGGGATCCAAATGGACGATGATTGTTCGCTGGAGAATTCGATGGTCGTATGTGAAAATAAAATACCTCGTGTCGTACCTCGTAAAATATCAGGCATTATGATCAGGGACTACTTAAGTGATACTATCGTAAATGGCACGTTTGCACATGCCAGTTGGTCCTCTGTAGATTTCCTAGATATCACTGTCAACCAAGATGTAGGGTTTCGGCTACATGATTATAAGTTTTTCTCACTAAAGACTTTATCACATCTTGGCGTACATGCGCCATTATACCAGTTCAACAACAATACAAAGGTTTTTGGAGGACTATCACTGTTACACACATTGGACTTATCGTTTTGTCGTTATCTCGATGCATCAGCCATTGTTGAATTGCTCTCTACAGTTAAAGACCTAGATACTTTGCTTCTGGATCAAATAGCTACAGCTGGTGATCGATTGTTTTTAATTGATAATGCATTTATAAAAGCAGTCCGTGAAAAGAAAATACACAAGCTTAGCTTGAGTGGATGCAATTTATTAGTTAAGGATCTGTCGTATGTGCCTAATATGTCTATGGATTTGTATGATTTAGACATTTCTAATACGTCAGTTATAGCACAGAGCACTTTTTTTCTTAATGAGTCTGCCATCGAAAATTTATTTCCGAAAATCAAGGTTTTAGATGTGTCTCTACTACAGACAAGATTTTTGGATTTCGACTATGGTTCAATAAATAATATCAGTTTTGACAATAATTGTACTGACACGAACAGTTTCTTGATATTGATATTGAGGCTAGAAAATCTTACGCTAAACAGTATATTGTCCAAACCATTCAGGGCAAACAATTCATTTATTGATTTATCAAAATGCAATGTCAATTTAAGGTCACTACATGTAAGGTCAAATCACTTACATTACTTAAACTCATCTATCCTATGGCCCGAGGATATATATTTATCTGATATCGACATGTCATCAAATGGCATTGAATATCTATCTCCCACGTTTTTATATTCTGTAACATCACTAGAAATATTAAACCTTTCAAACAATGAATTGCATCATATGCAATATTTTAAAGAGTTTAGTCATTTGTTCATGAACCATACAATTTTACGACAATTGGTTCTTTCTAGAAACCGTTTAAGATTTCTTCCTTTCACGATTTTTTCTCACAACACCAACTTAATTATTTTAGATTTGTCATATAACAAATTAACTTCTATCAGTTTCAAATTAAAACATTTAATAAAATTGCAGTTTCTGAACTTGAGAAACAATGATATATATTATATTGATGGTGTTGAATTGAACACATTAAAGGCATTTGTAACAGATTTCTCTAAGCATCGAAAAATATATCTTGGGAATAATCCGTTCATTTGCAATTGTAAATCTATAAGTTTTATCAAATGGTTACTCGTGTACATGACAAATACATTCAATCAAAGCCTGACTTGTTCTTTGAATGATAACGATGTTGTTGTCATTTATGAGGCTGTGATCAAAGAGACGGAATTTTCTTGCATTCGGTCAAAAATAATCATAGCTTCAGTTTCAACAGTTGCGTCAATAATAATTTTTGTTTCAATTGGGATTGGTTTTATGTACTACAAGAAGAGGAAGCAGAAAAGAAAGAGACAAAGGAACAATTTTATTGAGGATTTCAAACTTGGTAATATTCTGGAAAAATATTTGTGTTTTGTATCTTATTCTAGCGACGACAATGAAGCAGACGTCATGCATGTTTGCAATTTATTAAAAGAGTCATTACAGGAATTGACTCAGACTAACAAAGAAGTTCTTTGTGTGGGCAATAAACAGTTTAATCTTGGGTTTCCAATCGTTGATGAAATAATACGATGTATTAAAGAAAGCTGTGTTGGAATTTTCTTTGTGACAACCAATTCTTGTCAAAGTCAATGGTGTGAAATGGAACTTCGAGAATTTTACGAATTACACAAACCAATTATTCTTATATTTAAAGAAGAAATCGATATTGGAACTATGTCTCCAATAATGTTAAATGTCTTTAGACAATATACCCGAGCTAAGATTAATATTATAGATGGTCAGATACAAATGACACCGAATTTAGACCAATTATCAAATTCCATTCTATTGCTAGCGTCATCTCATTTTTGTAAAGGTATTTTGTAACTAAAGAACTATTTTTTCAAAGGAGAAAAGTGGTAGTAATGTAAAGTAATATCTAATTCTTTTTCTCTACATGTGCTTCTATGTTGATTTTTCCTCTTTATGTAAGTATGATAATTTTGATAAAATACTGCTATGTTATCAATAAACATAATATTTGTTTCTAACAATTTCAATGTTTTTGGTGAGCGTGAGCGAGTACGTATTGCTTATACATTGTATTAGTTTTATACATTTGATTGTCCTATTTTGCGGCTTTTGTTTAATGATAAGTTGGTTTAATTTATTAATATAACCCCCTCTCCCCCGCTTATATGCCCTATTTTCGAGTTCAACATGTTTCTTCCAATGATCCTTCTTCTTCTTACTGAAAGTGCGATTGAGCCATCATTCTTATTGTATTATGGGCATAATAAGCATTTACTTTCTTGAGAAATTTAAATATTAACTGACCACATATAAAAAGGTTATTGTTTTCTTTAAACGTACATGTATTGAAAATATCAATATGAAATTTCACAGCTTTTACTAGCTCATGAATGAGAAACATTTTTATGAGTATACTTTTTTATGATTATACAGTTATAGCCCCTTCCAGATTTAATTTTCCTCGAATCAAACCTGGAAAAGAATTAGATATATCATGCTGAAACCCCATACCTTAACTATCCCATGAAGGAAGAAAAGGATTATCATGAACAATGATTCTCTTTTACGTTATTTTAGAATTTGTTTAAGAGTACTATTTCTTTGATCTAATGAGCTTAATATCATAAATGAATGTGATAATTTGAGAATTAATATATTTTTATTATTGTTATCCTTGTTTATATAATAATAAATGAAAACATCACGTAAAAATATATATCACAAAATAAAAATCAATCGAAATCTCTTTAGAAAATAAAACAAAATTTTTACGATGATTAAATGTTTCTTAAACGTCTTGTTTTGATATTTTACAATTTTCGGCATGCTACTGTAACCATATAATTTGTCTAGATAGTAGTTATCAAATACAAATTGTAGTCGTTGGTTTTCGATTAAAGGTTATCATCTAACCGAGTTTCTATATGCTTAACTAGTAATTTATTTACAATGTATTTCCTTTGCATTTTATATTGTTCTGTTCAAGATGATTACAATTTATCACCATTATTTTTATTTTCATTCGTAGAAAATTTTGTAATTGGCATAACACTGAGATGTAAAACAAGAAACATTTTTTGCTGTCAGAAAGATATGTTTATATATGTTATTTCTTTGGTTAGCACTAACAATTATTTAAAAAAAAACAAAAAACAAAAACCCATTGTTGTTTTCACCCGACAACACAATTCTGGCATAGTATTGGTTTTAGAATATCAAAAACAAAATATTAAAATAATTGATAAGACGTGTAAATAAACTAAACGGTAATAAAATAGGCGAAAGCAAATCTTTAAAATAGGTTTATAAAGATTACATACCACAAGGCTGAACAGGCAAACGAGTGGCCATTGTAATTTTGTTAATATATTTAGCGATTCCGAACAAGCTTTTATTTACCTCCTCGTATTTTCTATATATTTAATCCCCAGGTGGCTCTATAAAAAGAATCAACGAATTGTATTTTCTTTATCGTTTAAAATGTAAGTTTGTTTATCAGGAATTTAAATTATATAATGAAATAGGCTTGTTTGTATTCTTTACAAATAATTATAAAATATAAGGGGTACTTCTATGTAGGCTATGGGCCTTTGCTCAAGAAAATGAGAAATTTAGAATGGAAAATGATAAATATAATGTAGCCCTTGATATTAAATACATACTCAAACACAGTAGTAGAATAAGTGAATATTTTTTGAAAAATGTTTAACATTTGCTTATGTAGGTCTCTTTATCACGTCAAGATACTTTATATATAAGTATATGCAGTGTAGCTTCTAAAATCCGAACACCAGTGTGAATTAGACACAAGGTTTCGGATTGTGAGCGTTTCCGAAATTCAGGATATCTCTGGCATTCGGTTCTGAGCTGAGCATTTGTATTAACCCAAGTTGTTGGCCCCGGAAAAATAAAACGCATACGTAAAACTTGTAGAATTGGATAAAAAACGTCCAAGCACAAGGATTTAATGTATTTGCTTTGTATTTAATATATACATCATGAATCTGTTTTAAAATGTTATGCTATAATAGCGTCAACGCACATTTATTTCGTGTTATAAAGTCTGCAGACTGCAATAAATGGTCAAAATTTAAAAAAAAACAAGATCAACAAGAAAGGTAGGCTCCCCCTCCCCCTAACACGACCCAGCAACACAGGGCTACTGGCAAGGAGCCATTAGCAAGCCATTAATCATTATTTATTTGTAATATTTTATTGAATCATTTTTCCTTATTATATTTAAAAAAACACAAACTTTTAAATGTATTATTGAGTAAAATCTTGTTGTTTATTCTTTTTTATCACGAGACTTTATGCCTTGCCTTAACATCAAGCCAGAAAACCTTGGAATATTATTCAGGTGCTTTCCTAATGAGCTAAAATAGAGAAAATAAGAATCCCTAAAAAAAACCCAAAACGGCAAAATTGAAAATGTTGCAGGCTCGGTTTGATTGAGCCTGTTCATGGACGGTACTGTCAAGTGCCAACTACCATCCACGCCCCCTAGCACCGGCTTAAGCAGAATTCAACATTTAATCATGAAATGGCACAATTTGGCAAAGTTGGTAGTAAGGAAGATACTTTACAAATGACAATGTCATGCAGTTCATGATAAATAAATTAAATAAATAGCATAAAAAGTATAAACAAGAGCACCGCTAGGCGGAGCATTATATGCCCGAAAGTGTTTTTTTATATAAAGGATGAAGCATTTGTAAGACAGTCCATAAATTAAATAAAGTATTAACTCCTTCCAATAGCAATCCTCCTATAAAGTTTGAATATTGTGGGCCAAATAGATCAAGTTATGCTCCAGAAACTGTTTTCAGTTTTAAAGTAATAGTGAGCTTGACCTTTGACCTTGTGACCCAAAAATCAATAGGGGTATTCTACCCAATATGGACAATCATCCTATGAAGTTTGAATATTGTGGGCCAAATAGACCTTAAGTTATGCTCCAGAAACTGTTTTTAGTTATAAAGTAATAGTGACCTTGACCTTTAACCTTGTGACCCAAAAATCCATAGGGGTATTCTACCCAGTATGGACAATCATCCTATGAGGTTTGAATATTGTGGGCCAAATAGACCTTAAGTTATGCTCCAGAAACTGTTTTCAGTTTTTAGTTATGCTCCAGAAACTGTTTTCAGTTTTAAAGTAATAGTGACCTTGACCTTTGACCGTGCCACCACAAAATCTATAGGGGTCTCCTACCCAATATGGACAATCATCCAATGAAGTTTGAATATTGTGGGCCAAATGGAACTTAAGTTATCCTCCGGAAACTGTTTTCAGTATTAAGGTAATAGAGACCTTGACCTTTGACCTTGTGACCCCAAAATCAATAGGGGTCTCCGACCCAATATGGACATTCATCCTATGAAGTTTGAACACTGTGGGCCACATGGAACTGTAGTTATGCTCCAGAAACTGTTTTCAGTTTAAAGGTAAAAGTGACCTTTGACCTTTTGACCCCAAAATCAATAGAGGTCTTCTAACCACTATGGACAATCATCCTATGAAGTTTGAACACTGTGGGCCAAATGGAACTTAAGTTATGCTCCGGAAACTGTTTTTAGTTTTAAGGTGATAGTGACCTTGACCTTTGACCTTGTGACCCCAAAATCAATAGGGGTCTTCTACCCAATATGGACAATCATCCTATGAAGTTTTAATGTTGTGGGCCAAATGAAACTTAAGTTATGCTCCGGAAACTGTTTTCAGTTTTAAGGTGATAGTGACCTTGACCTTTGACCTTGTGACCCCAAAACCAATAGGGGTCTTCCACCCAATATGGGCAATCATCCTATGAAGTTTGAATGTTATGGGCCGAATGGAACTTAAGTTATGCTCCGGAAACCAAATTGCTAACGGACGGACGGACGGACAGACAGACGGACGGACGCCAGGGGGTATAACATAATATGCCCGAAATTCTTTCGGGCATATAAATAGTATAAATTCAGATCTTTAATGCATTTTATTTTCCATCTGTTTAGTACACCCAACGATAGCTTATTGTTAAAACATGTAGTAAAATTATGTCTATCGTTAAGTTAACTTGGTGCTACTTTTGTTTACAACGTAGAAATAAACTTGTTTACAATGACCCCGCCTTGACCTAAGTAAATTAATTATTTACTATTCAAGATCGTAAATTTATTAAGACGCAATAAACAATACATCTATAATAACATTCATATGTAGATATGATTAACATCGATTTAAACTACTTTAATTTTGTCGACTGAACAAAGAGTAGCTATATTTCCAGTAAAAATGTATACATTACATGTAAATGCAAAACTGGAACAACCTTGGATTTTTCAAAGTGATTTCTTTCTTTTAAAAAGTATCCCAAAGTTGTACAATAAATTTGTTAATTTATATTTTTTTGACAATTTTGTCTTAGCAAAGAAATTTACTTTTGGTTTATAATTTTGCCGCATCAAATTTATATGATACTTAACAACAATCATGCACAACTTATGTATAATTATCAAAGAATCCTTCTTATCAAAACTTATAAGTTATTACTCTATAATGTTTGATAAAAAACACAGTTGCGACGTAAGTTATTGTAGATATTAGTATGTCATATTATATTAATAAGGTTTTTTGACTTTTTGACGTTTAAAAATATTTGTTTAGATGAACAACTTGAAATAGAGACCAGTGTTCTAGGACAAAGTATAATGACAGTATTTACCTGACCATTAGAAGATTCCGTTTGATTTGTCATCTTCAACAAGTCCACATAACGTACACAAAGAGATAATTCAACAAGTCCACATTACGTACACAAAGAGATAATGACCATCTAGATATTCACTTAATGCCGACCCACATTTTTATCAATATTATAACTAGATATTTGTACAATTTATTTTGATATTTGTCTTACTTGCTTTCAGATTAAAAGGTCTATGCGTACAGTCAAAGAAGATTATAAGGTCTATGTCTAATGTTCATTGGTCGATTTATGTTTAGACCTTTTATAGTCTTTAAGACAATCTTGGAATATATGAGAAGAAAGTTTAGAAGGAAGACCTTCACGGAACGAAGTCCCTAAAAACATTGAACCAAATTGGACCAACCGAGCTACACTAAGTAAGGCTCCGAACAAAAACAGGACATACATCGAGAAAAGGCACAAAGTCAAACATTTCACGATGTTTCGCGAACCTTTCCTCAATTGCAAACGATATCAATTTTTGCTTACTGATCTAAAATTATAAATTATTAATTCCGCTTTATGTAATATTAAAATAGGGTACGAAGACTGGAAAAATAAAGCAAGATATAAATCAATTATTACCTAGCAGTATTCAGTTCATGTTTTGCCTAATCTGATAATGTATAATACTCGATCGATTTTATTTACATTCATAGTATAAAGTATGTTATAATATCATTATTTTATTTTATTTCGTATTTAAGATATAAATTCACTCGTACCTATTAAGAGACAACTTTATGCCGTTTAGGCATTCAAAATTCCCGTCTATAGTTTGACAACAATCAATTGTTGACCTGTGATTCAATACTTTATAGCCAAGTTTTTTATGAAAAATAAAAAAAGTCTCTTCTTTTCTTTGGCATTGTACGAAAGATATCTATCATGAAAATAATCATAATGTTTTTGAATGCGTTTAAAGTATTTATCTATGTTAGTAAATTTGATACATTTATTTTCATACTAAGTCTTATGGACATTGGACGTAGTGGCATTTAAACGTATTAACGATATATACTGAACCGTGTGAATATTGATTTTAAAGTAGCCAATGGAAGTAAAGACATGACAGAGGTTTAAATGTAAATAAACATGTAAATCACAATGGATATTAAAAGCAGTTTAAATGCCATTAATGGAACACCGCGCAGTCATATAACTCTGTAGGGGATGTGG